TTCGCTGTTTGTTAAACTCGCTCGAATTCTAACCGTGCGTGTAACTATGACTTTTTTTCGACCATGCGAAGTGTACTCTTTCGAAGTTTAAGCTTTTTCTAGGTTATTGGTTATTCTCTCTGGGTCTTAGATTTGAAAAATTTTCGAAAAACATTCGCGAAACATTCCGTTCGATGTTTGAAAATGTATGTATGTTTAAGTTCGATTTGCGTTATACCGCTTGAGGTAATTTTTTTTCGTTATCGACCACTTGATCGTTTCGATATTCAAACGAATTCCTTCTTTTTTTTCTTTTTTTAAATATAATTTATTCGTATATAATCGCGAATAATCACGATGTCAGAGAACGAGATGACATAAGCGCGAGCAAATTTAAGAGTTATTTTCGAGCGACGTTCGTGGATACACGTTAGCAGGGAAGAGGAACAGCGTCGGGATGGTAAAACAAATATTGTCTAACAAGCAAACCGTGTAACTGGGCGTAGTACGAATATTTACGAATCGGCGCCACATCCAGCAGCCTTTTTTTCTCTCTCTCTCTCTCTGTCTGTCTGTCTCTCTCTCTCTCTGTCTCTCTCACGGATAGGGATACGGACGAGCGTTCATAATCTCGTGTACAAACCAAGTTGGAAACGGGATACAGTGTGTGTATATAATTCCATATACGAGCATGTTTTCCGAATCGAAATTTTCAAAAATTCACATCGGCGTTGAACGCGTCGAGTTTATCGTGCTAATTGTTAACGTTAAAATTAAATAAATTCGATACATTTGTAATTAGCGTCGCGATAAAATTGATACACGATTAATGAACGTATAATACATCGATGGAATACAAACATTGGAAACGTTAACTTTTCACTCGTCGTAAAATATAAATAATATATATAATATAATTAAAATAATATATATTGAAATCTCGTGGTAGTAAAAATCATCGATCTTAATTAAAACTATATCAGCTATATATATATTATACACACAATTACGCGTATAAATTAAAAATTCTTCAACTTACGTCAACTTATCAAAAAACGATGTATCTTTTATCATTGGATACGATAAGAGCAAGATATATGCACAATCTCTCGTCAGGTCGAATTAGAATCTCTTAGGCAAGATATTTTCTTCTGCAGCCGCCTTCTTCGCCCTTCTTTCTTCCGGTGTCGTAGAATTTTTACGGGTATATCGTTGTCACGCTTCGTTGTTCCTTTCTCGTGTTCCATCTTTTTTTTTCTCTCTTTTTTTATTTAGTTTTATATATCCGGAGGATGCAATTGTCATAATGGGTGGACCCATTAGAGATGGGACGCGTCGCGAGCCCACGAGGGCGCAAGCATCTCTGAATTTATATAATGCTTCCCGTCTCGAGGATTCTTTTTTCCTTCCTTCTTTTTTTTCCCTTCCTTCCTTCCTCCTCCCTGTCCTTTAGCATATTTTTTTCACGCTCTCGAGTCCACCCTCTCCCGGCTTCCTGCACCGAATCTCGTCCCTTTTCTTTTTCCACCTAATTGTTCGCGTCCGAAGGCGCTTAATTCCATCCCCCTTTCTTTGTTTTTCTCCTCGAGAATCGTTTCCTTTTTTTCCTTTTCCCCCTTCTCCTCCTTTTCTTTGTTCTCGCCGCGGAACACGTCGCTGCAATTAAATGGAATAATTTCCACGTTTATCTTTGAGGCCCTCGCACGCCTCAATGTCGCCTCAAAATCGTTGAAAACATCGGTCGATCCATCGGCCGGAAATTTAAAACACATCCCGGCTCCGGTAATTTCATGCCGGTGTTATTCATTTCCCTTCCATTCCGATAATGTTATCGTAACGTTACGTACGATATCCGCGTTCACGTTTCGATCTCTTATTTTCTATTCCGCAAGTTTGAGTGCAACGGGGGAAGGAAGGAAAAACTGGGCCGAATCCTCGTTGTTGGGCGAAAATGTTTCAATTAAAAGTATCGAGTCGGTGTCGATTCGTTTGCAACACGGAACAAGGCAATTTCCGCGGCGAAAGTGTCGCGCGAAAGTTGGGCAACTTCGTTTTCAAGAAAGTGGAGGAGGAGGAGCAGAGTGCATAAAACGAGAACACTGGGGAAATATTTTCAGAGAGAGAGAGAGAGAGAGAGAGAGAGAGAGAGAGAGAGAGAGAGAGAG